GGTCAGGACTGCTCTTCAACCCCTACAGCATCCGGTCAGACAAGATCATGTCCCCGCACACACATGCGGGGAATACGTACGCAGCCGTATCCACACAGCGACTTGACCAACAAGTAAGCACTTACACCGAGAAGACGTTCCCAGAGCGACCAGAGACCCCTGTGCGGCACGGCCACTTCTGCCTCTCGTCACCAGATGGACCAAAACAAAAGGCGAGGTGGCGATGTGCACAAGAACAGGCTCACTTCCAGATTGGACGTGAGGACATACACATTTCTGCTGCCTCCAACTTCCGTAACACGACACTGTCCTAAAGAACACCCCATTTCCTCTCAGTACTTATGGTCGTGGCTTACGTTAGTTTAAGTGCTCACACTCATTTAAAGTCTCTCAGAGCAAGTCTCACAAACCGGGCCCTCCCTAGTGCTCGGGGAACGGTGCTACCACACCCCAGGTTCGTGGGCAGCCCGCACTCACCTCGTACAGGCCGCTAAGCAAGGGAGAGGGCAGCGTGGGCTGGCCGGTGGAGCCAACAGGCGCCACCTCCCTGCTCGCCCGCGGGGTTGACACCTGACTCCGGTCCTGCATCTCTGCTTCCGGGACGGACAGGGCTCTCTGCCCTCCTGGCTCGTCCCACAAGGGCGGTGAGCCCTGCATCGCCAAACAACCCCCAAAGCCATTCTGAACCCTAGGACACGTCCCCTCACCTGTGACTTCACCGACAACACTAGCCCTTTGTGTGAGCCTCAATTTCACAATTTGGCCAAAAATCACTTGAACGCAGAAATGGACACTCTGGGCCCCAAACTGCCTAGCACACAGAAAGCCTGCCATCAGCTAATCCTCGAGCAAGATTTCATGCCTAACGTTCTCCATAACCTAGCGTTTTTTAAGTGGGTGTGGCAAAAACACTCTTCGTAGGCTAAGAGCTTTGTTAACTGCACTCATTTGGCAAATAGCAGCCAAGACACAACACCAGGCCTTGGATGATCTGTCCCCAAAGTCTCTGGCAGACGTAACCCTGAGGAAACAAGAGGCCTCCTTCAACCCCCCCCCCTCCCGCCCCACCCCTGCTCTCTTACACCTGGCTGACCCTCCAGGGCTCCCATTTCAGAATCAGATGCGAGACTTGAAGTCACCAAGAGGAAGGGGAGACACAGTCCCTTACACCCATCCCAGTGAAGAGATAAGTGAGAGACATCCAGCTCCCGAAGAAAGCAAGTTTTGTAAAAGAGATCAACGAAAGCGGCACTCTGTGAGGGCTTGGAGAGGTCCGCAGAGGAGGAGCTAATGAGAGAAACGAGATCGGACTGAGCGCCCTCACTCAGCACAGCTATCGCCGGATTCCGTGCACAGGTTTCCTAACTGGCCCGAAACAGCAGGAGCTGGTTCAGGGGGCTTTTTCCCAGCGCAGGACAAAGACGTGTTTTCCCTCGCTTTCCCTAACCCCCTGACGAAAATACGCCCACATGAAAATACTGTCGATGAGAGGCGGGCAGGGCCCCAAGGAGGCCCCGCCGGCAGACGCGGCACCCACCTCGGTATCCAGCATAAAGATTTTATTCCCGGCACACACCGCAGCTGCTCGGTCGTCCGGGCTCAGCCTCAAATACAGCGCCTTCCCCAGAAGAGTGCCCAGGACGAGCCCTCGAGGAGTCAGCCCTAGAGGGAGTTTCACTGTTAGTGTCAGGCCGTCAGAGTGGCCCACGAGCCACAGGGAATCACCGACCACGCAGCCCTCTCTCTCTACGTGATGCGGAGTAACAAGGACTCTGACGCGACGTTAGCTCCTCGACGGTACTAAAACCATCAAGTGCAAACAGTTCTTCTGGAAGTATGCGGAACGCAAGAACCGTCCATCGGAAGATGACTCTGTGCCTTTGCAGATAACAGAGGTCTCTGCGAAGGCTGCAAGTGCGAACGTGTGGGGGTCACACAGAATGGCCCACGGTCCCGGTTCGTCCCTCCCCCCGTGACCACACCTGCTCCAGGCCTGGCCGCGCGAGCTGCCCGGGCTCGCTCCAGACAGGCAAAGGCACGGGGCGCCCATCCGAGCCTCCGAGACCTGCCCACACCACGAGGACGTCTCCGGGCAGGCCTGCGGGGCCAAGGCAACGACACAAGCCAGCCCTCAGCTTCAAGCGGGCCCCTCGACCAAGCCAGCACCGGGCAGTGAGGACCCAGCACCACCAGGGCTGGGCCGTGGGACTGAGGCTGCCTGCTGTCCAGCAAGGTCATGTCAACAGCAAGACCCCGAGCCTACAGAAAGGGAGCCGTGCACACACCACGTGGGAGTTCTAGTCTGGCCAGGCTAAGCCCATGGGTCCGCTCCACGAGTATTTAGCAGGCACCGATGCTACCCCCGGCACCTGTACAGGCACTCGGGATAGACCAACAAACAAAACCAAGTCCCGCCTTCGTGGAAAGCTTACTCTGGGGTAGGAGGTGGGGGCACTTAGACACCCGTAACCAAAATATGTCGATGAATTACATACAGTGCTAGAAGGAAGTGAACACTGTGAGAAAAAGCAAAGCACAAAAGGGGACTGGGGTCCAGGGTGGTGGTCAGAAGGGCCCACGGCACCGGAGAATTGGACGGGGCAGAATCAGCAGGGATCCTGAGATGGCCCTGGGGGCAGGCCACTATGCCTGGACCGTTCCCTGAAGCTGGGGGTAGAGGTAGGGGTCCTGTAGCTTTGTCGGCAAGGCCCTGGAGAGCTTTGGGCAGCGGCGGGATGCACTCAGACTCCAATTTCGCAGGGAGCCCTGGCTGTGGAGTTGAGAGCAGAGCCCCGGGACAGGACTGGGACACAACGGGGGGAGCGGGAGGCGCCAGCACAACGCGCCAGTGAGCGAACCCGCGGGGCACGGTGAAGGCAGGTGTGAGAAGCATCCACGCTTCGCACGTGTTCTGAAGGGAGAGCAGACGGAAGCCGTGGGTTGGGAGGACGTGGAGGCGAGGAAGGAAGACAGGACACGATGCCGTGACTTCTGACCGGAGCGGCCGCAGGGAAGGCTGTGGGAGGCAGGTGCGGGAAAGGTGGTCAGGACAGGTAAGCCTCAGAGCTATCAGCTGTGCACGTGGGCGCGTCCAGGGCGGTTCACACCCGAGGCCTCGGCGAGAGCACAGGTGGCGGCTGTCAGGGCCTGGCTGTCATCAAGGGAGTGATTTTTGAGGGGCCACAGGAAAAGCCCCCGTGCCAACGTTAAGAGGTGGGAGAGTGACAACGAGCCAGCAAAGGAGACTGAGGACAAGTGACCAATGATGGAGCACTCCAAGGTCCCGGGCCACGTGCCGTTTCCCAAGTCCAAGTGCAAACCCAAATGGCTCTTGGACGCGAAGGTACCGTAAGTGAGCCCGCCTTCTCCACGGGCGCAGAAACCAAGCCTGGCTGCGATGCCCCCGGCCCAGGCCACGGGGGCACAGGCAGCGGCCTGCGGCTTCTGAGAACCGCACCCCCATCCCTGCAGTGAGGGCAGAACGAGCCCGTTCCGGTCCCACTGCCACAGCTGAAGACACAAGAGCAGCCCTGGCACACCCACCAGACTGAGCTCCGTGTGAGCGTGAATGCTGTGCCTCAGGGCCCAGCTTCGACCCCCTGTCCATGCAGTGGACCGCGTGTGCCAAAGCGTACAGGAGTTCTGAAGGGCGACTTAAAAATAAACCTTGGGACACAGCCCTTCCAACACGGAAGGCTACGTATTGACAAAGACCCATACGGGGAACAAATCACTAACGTGGGGTTCACCGCACAGATGTGTGTGCGTGCCCTGTGTACACACATTCACGTGTGTGCACATGCTATACAACATGTACCTGTACGTGAGTGCTCTGTGTTTATGTACGTGCGTGTATGTGCTATACACACAGGTACACATGTGTATACTTACGTACATGTATGCACATGGTAGATACACATGTACATGTGTGTGCGTGCTGTGTGCTTACATACACAGGTGCATGTGTGTGCTGTATGCTTACATGCATGTGTGAGCATGTGCTGCACACGCGGGTACATGTGTGGTGTGTGCTTACTACACGTGTGTGTGCTATACACACAGGTACATGTGTGCGTGTTGTATGCTGACGCACGTGTGTCTGCACGTGCTATACACATAGGCACATGTGTGTTGCTATTACTATATTCACATGTGTGGTATGCACGTGTGTACGTGTATGCATATACACAAATGTACATGGGTTATATACTTATGCGTGTGCTGTGCACACGTGTACATGTTATGTGGACATGGATACCTGTGTGTGCTGTATACATACGTACATGTGTGTGTGTGTGCTCTATGTGTGTACTATATGCACATGTGTCCATCTACGTATGTGTATGCAGGTCTATGTACTGCGTATATGCGTGTGCGTGCACATATGCATATGTGCTCACGTATGCATGTAGTGTGTAGCATGCACTGCGTGTATGAATGTATATGCACTATGTGTGTATCTGTGTATGTCTGCATATACTCTGTGTGCATGTATACGTATAAGTGTATATACGTGCACTATACGTATACATGCATGCCTGTATGCACATCCCTGCGTGTATGTACTACTGTATCCACACATATGCATGCATTATGTACTATGTGTGTGCATGCATATGTATGTGTGCACTATCTGTGTAGGTGTATGTGTGTAGGTTTACATGTGCATTGCCATATATGTATGTACATGTGTGGGTACTACATAAATATCGAATATGTGCACATATGTGTGGGTGTGTATATACGTGCTATATGTGCATACAAAGACTACGTGTGTATATGTGCAGGTGTGTGTGTACTATTTGCACATGCATGTATGTTACATGTGCATGTGTGTATGTTATACGTGTATGTGCTTTGTGTACAATGTGTACCGTGCATGTGCATGCCACGTTTATATACGTGTGCGTGCTCTATGTGGGTGTGCCATGCGTATGTACATTCATGCATGCACTGTGCTTGCGTGCACTACGTATGTTTGTGTACTGCATATGTATGAGCATGTGTATATACTATTTATGTGTATGTGTGTGTGGCTACGTCTGTACCACATGCGTGTGTATCACAGAAGTACGTGTGTGTGTGCTGTGGTGATACACTGATACTGCGCTCACGCTACAAGTTAAATGAAGTGAGGTCTTCCATTCTATTAACTGCGTTTTATACACACGGACATATACTACTATCATGTACACGGTCGCCTAAGGTCCCCTGCCACCTATTTGGAGTAGTCCTACGGATTCTCAGTGTCACTAATCACATAACGTTCACACTCCTTACCGTGGTCCTCACCTAACTTCTCAACTTTGTTTGCTCAAGCTCTAATGTCCCCATGCTCCCACCCCGCGGGCTCCCTCTCAGCTCTTCAGACAGGTCAGGTTCCGCGCACAGAGGGCCCGTGCGCACACGGCCGGCTCTGCCGGCAACGCCGCTCCCACGTGGCACGGGGCCACCGTCCGGCACCAGCCCTCGCTTGCGTCCAGCTCCTCCTCATCCCCCAGCTCAAAAGCCACCTCCCCAGAGATGACACCACGTGGACGTGTCCTGCCCACGTCCTCTGTCGACACCTTGCCTTTCTCTGCTGCGCTCCCCACAACCAACAACCAGTTACTTGCCTATTTGAAATGTGTTTCCCTCCCCTCACGGTCTCTGTAAGGAAAGAACACTTCAGTTGCCTACCTGTTTTCAGAGGTCCAAAAAAATCACAGATATCAAAATAAGGAAATACGTAAGAGTAAAACTAATGAGCCTATCATATCAGATCCACACACGGCAAAAGTCAGCACGTGTGAATGCCTGGTAAGCTTCCCACACAGAACATCCAGCTTGGACACTCAGTTTCAAGGATAAAGGAGTCAAAAATGCTCCCAAGCCCCTGTATGTTACCAAGTCTATTTAAGGGTGAGTCGTTCCCTTTTACACTTTTTTAAATGTATTTTAAGAGTTCATTTACCTAGAAGCACTTTCTGTCTGCACTCATCCAGACTCCACAACATAACAGAATCCTGTGATGCGGAACAGATGAGAAGTGGACTCACTGTATTTCCAAATGTCACAGCAGTGATCGGCTGACGGTGTCCTCTTAGGATTAGAGGCTAACAAAGTTAACAAGAAGAGAAATATCATCAACGACAGAGAACACTTAAAGAATAAAGGAACATAATGGCATAACCTCAAACCTAAGAAACCAAATGGCTTGAAGTTTTCAAATATGTTTCTTTCATATATTTACTTATTAAAATTCCCGTTAATGTACTATTAAATTACGGTCAGGTGAACCATCTTACCGTCACTCAACATCGTGGATCACGCGCACTAGTAAAATGATACAGGTCACCTCACTCTTCCATTTCCTCATCAGTCATGAATTAAGCAAATGTGTGTCGCGTCCCTGCAGTGTGCCACAGAGGTCCTGCTGTGCTGGACGCTGAGGAAATGAGAAGGATCCGCAAGAGGAGGGGAGCGTTCCGGCCGCTGGGAGACGAGGCACATTTACGAGGCTGCTGGTACAAGCGAGGAAGGCGATGGGGCCACAGAAAACCTGGGCAAGTGCGACACTGTGACGAGCGTGTTCACAGCTCTGACCAAGCATGAGGAAACCGGAAGCCGGCAGAAACGTGCAAGCAGAGGAATCTGTGACCAGACTTGTAACACTGCTGCAAGGGTGGAAGAGGGACGATACTGGGGACACAGTGAGACCAAACACTCCGAAGACAGCACAGTAAAGGCCTGAACTAGGGTGACAGGGATGGAGACGGGGGCAGACAATGAACCAAAGGCTCTGTGACCAACGGGCATCGCGAGATAGAAGAGGGACAAGAGCAAAGGTAATCAGTGTTCGGGCTGAATCCCTAGGGGAATGGGGGCATAAGGAAGACGGCACGGAATCAGGAAAGATCAGATTGTCTGGGCTATGCTAAGGGAGCTCCTTTCGAGCTGACAGCCAGCACACAGTAGGTGCTATGACGTGAGGGCCATCGCGCAAACAGGAGGACCTGCTCATGGCAGGCCAGTTCATCTGTACCAACCTCCTGATGCGGACGACAAGAAAAGCTGGCAAAATTTGCAAAAAAAAAAAAAAATCTAGATGAGCAAGATAAGGCACCAGAGAGCAATGAAAGCAACAAAGAATTAAGACCAGAGAAGAAGGAAACTGAGAGAAGGGATCCAGCACGGGAGGCCATTCACCCGTGAAGACTTCTACCAAAACGCAGCCTTCTGACAATTCCGGTAGAGGCCATTGAAAGCTGAGATACTCACGGGACTAGAAACACAAACGGGGTGTAATCATTTTCAGGTACAAACAGAATTATCTTATTGGGATAAGGGCAAAGAATTCCACTGCCTGCAAAGTACCTCTGAGAATAGAGTTGACAGCCTTAAGGTGAGGACTCCATGCATTTTTTTTTCTTAAAACACCACATTTAAAATTTTTTTTTTAATGTTTATTTATTTTTGAGACAGAGAGAGACAGAGCATGAGCGGGGAAGGGTCAGAGAGAGGGAGACACAGAATCTGAAACAGGCTCCAGGCTCTGAGCTGTCAGCACAGAGCCCGACGCGGGGCTCGAACTCACGGACCGCGAGATCATGACCTAAGCCAAAGTCGGCCCCTTAACCGACTGAGCCACCCAGGCGCCCCTAAAACACCACATTTTAAAACACTGCTTTAAAAAAAGAATACAGCCCACTGCAGTGGGAGGGAAGGGCATGTTGCCAAACGCCCAGGGCTAGAGTAGTGACCCAAAGGACCAGGTCCAAGGAGGAGAGGTGAACGGGCCATAGAAGAGTGCTCACAAGCCCACCTCCAAGTTCTCATAATCCCTGACTGGCTTAGAGTGACCAGAAATTGCCAGTGCCCTCCTCACCCAGCCAGCTATCAGAAGCAAACATAAATTATCTCTGCAAGAAGTTAAGGTCATCCAGAGCCTCAAACCAGCTGTGCATTTTTTTTAATACTGACTGTCTAGCAGTCAATCAAAAATAATCAGGTACTCAAGGAGTCAAGATTATTCAGTCAAAACCCAAGAGAAATACCCATGGAAAACACCTACTGACAAATCATCCAGATGGCCTTGAAACAAAACCAGAACCAATCCAGATTGCAGAATTACTAGATAAGGACATCAAAACAGTCCTAATTCTATTCCATATGTTCAAAAGATTAAATAGAGATATAAACAATCAGTAGTTAATAACCTTCCAAAACAGAAAGCACCAGACCAAGATGGATCCACTGGTGAATTCTACCCAATATTTAAGGAAGAAATTTTACTAATTCTCCAAAATCTCTTTCAGGAGACTGAAGAAAAAAAAAAAGAAAACACTATTTTCAGAGGAAACAGAGTAAATACTTCCTTACTCATTCTATCAGGCCAGCATTACCCTAATTCCAAAACCAGACAAAGACATCACAAGAAAAGAAAATTAAAAATCAATATATTTCATGAACATAGATCCAGAACTCAACAAATATTCAAAATATTAGCAAATCAAACCAAATAATGTATAAAAAATTATATACCATGACCAAGTGAGATTTGGAAATTTATTCCAAATATGCAAGTCTGGTTCAACATTTGAAAATAATTAATCCATCACATCAACAGGCTAAAGAAAAAAAATCACATGAAAATATCAAAAACATAGAAAAAGCATTTGACAAAATCCAATAGCAATTCATCATAAAAACTATCAGTATAGTAGGAATAGACGGGAACTTCCTCAACTTGGTACAGAGTATCCACAACATAACAAAAGCTAATGTATTAAATGGTGAGAAACTATAAGCTTCCCCACCAAGATTAGAAACAAGACAAGTAGGTCCCCTTCACCACTCCTTTTCAACATTATACTGGGGGTCTTAGCTAATGCAATAACAATATAAAAGGAAGTTTAAAGGTATAGTGACCGAGGAAAAAGAAATAAAACTTTGTTCATGGATGATATGCTCACCTATGTAGAAAATCCAAAGAACTGGCAAAAAAAAAAAACAAAAAAAAAACTGAAACTAAGAATTATAGCAAGCTTGTAGGATACAAAGTTAATACACAAAATTCCACTGGTTTCCTATATACCAGCAATAAATAAGTAGAATTTGAAATTAAAAACACAATACCATTTACATTAGCACCCAAACAAACGAAATGCTGAGGGACAAATCTAGCAAAACTGTGTAAGTTCTCTATGAGAAAAAATAAAACTCTGTTGACAGAAATCAAAAAAGTAAATGAATGGAGAGATATTCCATGTTCATGGATAGAAAGACTCAATATTATCAACATGACAGTTCTTCCCAACTTGATCTACAGATTTAATGCAACCCAATCAAAATCAACAAACTGATTTTCAAGTTTACATAGAGGCAAAGAACCAGGATAGTCTCATGATAATGAAGAAGAACAACAGAATTGGAGGACTGACACTATCTGACTGTGAGACTTACTATGAAGCTACTCTAATCAAGAGCAGTGGTATTGGCACAAGAAAGGAAAAATAGATCAATGGCAGAGAAGAGAGAGCCAGAAATACAGTCAACTGAATTCTGACTAAGGAACAAAGGCAATACAATAGAGAAAACTGTAAACTCCTAAAAAATAACACGGGAGAAAATCTAGATGACTTAAATTTGGTGATGACTTTTCAGATAAGCCACCAAAGGCATGATCCATGAAAGAAAGAACTGACAGGCTGGACTTCATTAAAATTAAAAATTTCTGCTCCATCAAAGACAACACCAAGAGAATAAGAAGACAGATATTAAACGGTGGACAGACATCATTCTATATCTGCCCAAATCTATAGAATGTACAACACCAAGACTGACCCCTAAGGTAAATGGTGGACTCTGGGTGATGATGATGTGTCAATGTAGGTTCATCAGTTGCAACAAATGCAGGACTCTGGTGCAGGGTGCTGATAGTGGGGGAGGTTGTGTGTTTGGTGGGGTTGACACAGGGGGCATATAGGAAATCTCTGTACCATCCCCTCAATTTTGCTGTCAATCTAAAACTG